TGCTTAGCTGGCTCTGGTGGCCACGTCGACGTCATTCAATGTGGTTTCTCGCCGTTCTTCCATACCATCCCTCCATTGAGACCCGCGACGGTTCCCTCCGGCCGCTCAGTGTGTCCATTTCTGCTCCACCCGGCGCCCAGTCAGCCTACCTCTGCCGACCGGTGCCCGTATTCCATCGCACGGACCGCCCGGGGCACATACTGTCGGGAGTGCAGCGACACGGTCCGACCGGGTGTGGGGCGGGTGGAGAGGAGCCGGAAAAGTGGGGCCCGGAGTGACGTCACGGCACTCGGTCCCATTTGTAGAGTAGTCTTCTGCTGCTCAGACGTGGTCGGATTGGCTGGTCCACCACATACTTGACGGTGCTATGAGGAATGGGTGATACAATAACTACAGAATGTCGTCGTGAACGTGATTAAATACTGAGCACGATTTCGTTGAAATGTCTGGCTCCTATTCCAGCTGGGTGTGGATGTAAGCTAACCGCGACATGATAATGGCGAGTGTTATTTTCCTTTGATGTTCCCTCGTATTTCTTTTGCCATTAGTTTGGAATATTTGTCCACATACTCAGCCTCTGTAATGCAGCTTTATTTCTGGACTTTGGTACGTGATCAGCGGTAACCTTACCTGTCTGCGCCGACGGGCATCATCTCCGATATTCGTGACGTCAGCAGTGTGTGTGACGTCACTGTGGTAGTATTTTACGCATTACGTCATATGTGTATCGAGTTGTACGCCACCGGTGTATTGTGTGACGTCGTCAGTTGATTATACATGCTGCTTCACTGGGATGGTATGGTACACCGTAGGTTTGACGTAGGCGTGGATCTGTGTTCTGTGTGATGTCACCGGCTCTGGTATATGACGTCACCGTTGACCTCTATCCGCCGACAGGAAGAGGATCCGGAGAAGCAGCGCCGCCTCGAGGAGAAGAACGAGAAGCGCGAGGCCAAGCGGCGCGCCCAGATGCGTCAGATGAAGGTGAAGGCGCTGTGAGGGCCCCCGCCCCCGCCCCGCCGGGCGGCAGAGGCGCCACAGTCACCGACAGGCAAGCAGACTAGCGGGCGCTGGCCATTCAACCCCCATCGACTCATACAACTCATCGACTCAATGGCGTGCCGGGACGGGAACTCATATCTCAGCGGCCGGGCATTTCGCAAAATATCGTGTGGATATCATTTATATGCCTAGTTAAAAAGTGGGTTGTTTGTTTTAGTTTGACTAGGCCCCCGTGTTTGCCCGTGCAGAGTCGGCTGTTTGTTGTTTGTCGGCCGGTGTTTGTGGCTGTTTGTCTCGCCGGTGGTGCTGCGGGGGGTGGTGTGTGGTCGGGCCCCGGTCCCCGTCTGTATGTGTGGGTGTGTGCCGGTGTGGGTGCGTGTGGTATGTGGCGCGCGGTGTGCTGTCCTGGTTACTCCCGGTGTGGGTGCCGCGGGCCGCCCCGTCCGGCACACCGTCCAGACCAGCACTCGGTCCAGTCAGTGACATATGAACTGACTCCCTGGGAGCGGGGATCACTGCGGCACGACGCGGGCGCTGCGGAGACGGGCGGAGAACGCATTTTAATGTGTCAGACGGCGCCATATTGAGTCATTTTGTTACGACTAAAAATGACGGCACTAGTCTTGGGAAACTTACTCATGTGTCGTTATCGGTAGCGCTTATGTAATCCCCTAGTAATATTGGATTATTATGTTTGATTTTATGTGGTAAAATTTGTTTATCGATTGAAATGAACTCTTCCAAATACAAACTCGACATCCGCCTGCGTGGCCCCTGGGCTGTGCGCTACTCGGCCTTGTTCAGGCGATGAGTGGCGGGTGTTTGAGATCAGGTGGTCTCACGGTGTGTCTGGTGCGGTGACAGTCCCCCCTTTTTGGGCAGCGGAGTGGGTCCCTTGCCATCCCTGATGCCGTGGGCAGTGTGGCGGCAGGTCTTCAGTAGAGATCCCCGCCCTTTGGCGATCGCGACGGGCGCGTTTTGTACTACAATACTCGCTCCTAGTACCCTCGTCGGCGGCGCGGCCAAGTCCCATACCGACACCATTGACCCGAATCGGCTGCAGTGTTTGTATTGGAGGAGGGCAGACAATACAATGCCAGACATCAACTGAACGGTCTGTGTCTGTTCGAAATGGCGCAGTGCGCTTCGAGTCTGCTTTTTCGCGCCGGGCGGCGTGCAAAGGCAAAGTAGATGAGGAAAACACCTGGGGAACCTGAAGGCTAGGATTGCGCTTTTTAGGTCAAAATTGATTGCTAAGAATAAATATTTTTTCTCGCATTTTGGCTTCCACGCAACATGTCACCAAAGTCATTTTGTCAAATATATTGCGTAAAGCTATAAACACTCAAACTTCCCATAAACTGGTGTGAAGTGCTTTAGCGAGGAACATAGCGAGTATAAATACGTGAAGAATCATTGACCTTTTCCTCGAAGAAGTAAAAACAATGCAAAAAGTTATATTTAATGCGTTGAGCTTTCGGCTACAAGCCTCCGTCAAACCAACAAAATGACACGATACAAAAAATGGCATTTTGTAAATGACATTTTGTATCGTGTCATTTAGTCGGCTTGACGAAGGCTTGTAGCCGAAAGCTCACCGCATTAAATATAACTTTTGGCATTGTTCTTTATTTCTTCGAGGAAAAGGTCAATGATTCTTCACGTATTTATTCCCATACACTGCGTCGCAGAGGCGGATCCAGCTCAGAGGTTTGGGGGGGGCAAACCATAAAAATTTATCAATTCTTTCCATGCATCGTCCATAGGCGTAATGTTAAAATCATGCCGTTTGGGGGGGGCAAATGCCCATTTTGCCCCCCCCCCTGGATCCGCCACTGCTGCGTCGTATGTGCGTAAAATAGAAACAACGCCCGTCCACTAGCCGACGCTGCGGCGGTAGGACAGATTTCGTGGTGCGCTGAGGGCTGCCGTTGTCGCTTATCGCTCCTGCCGCACTCGCGGTGTACATCTGCGAGCATCCTCGTGCGCCGTGCCGTCACCGCTGGTAGTCCTGTGTCGGTCAGAGCATGTTGACTCCCCACTGGAAGCCGGCCTCGTGGCTCCAGCCGCTGTCGTACTCGACTAGACGGTACTCGACGTTGTCATCGCTGCAGCACATCATGGGCCCGTCATATCGGATGGTGAACGCGCTCGTCACCGCCAGAGACATGAGCGGCGTGGTCTCGTTGGAGCGGTACACGCTGATCTGGGTCGGCGAGAAGTGGATACGGAACAGACGCAGCTCGGTGGTGCTGAGGATGCCCGGAGAATCGACCTGGGTGGCCAGAGACCAGTCGCCGAACGGCTCGGCACGCTGAATGCCGCTCTTGGAGTTCAGCCAGCCTCCTATGATGATCTGCCAGCGGTTGGCGGCGTCATAGCGGAACCCGTCCAGCGCGATCCACTGGCAGTCCAGGGCGACGCGGCACTCGAACTGGACGGTGAAGTTCTGCTCGGCGCGCGGCCGGGCCAGCAGCGTGTCCCGCGGCAGGTAGTAGCTGCGGCTCGGGCTCCAGTCGAGGCCGAACCACGGGTCCACCAGCCGCCGGTCCAGCAGCCACGAGCCGACCGTGGAGCTCGACCAGACAGCCAGGTAGGACGGTGAGAAGGCGATGCCGTCGTCCCAGGCGACGTGCCGCGTGGTCGAGTCGTTACGGGTCAGTCTCAGAGCGCCGCTGCACCAGGAGACCGTGTACCGGTAGGCGGTGGTGGTGGACAGCAGGTTGACGTAGCTGAGGTAGACGCGCGAGCTGCTGGTGGCCGTGTAGCGCCACGCCTCCACCTGGCTGGTGGACATACTGAAGAGGTAGCGGTTGGCCTGCAGCGAGTACTGCTCAGAGACGGTGAGCCGGGCCTCGGTATCTGTGCTGACCTCGAACTCGGCCGCACACAGGGTGGGGACGATCCGCTGCCAGAGCCAGGAGGTGCCGTCCGTGTGCACCCGCTTCCCCCTGGGCAGGCACAGGGTGGTGTTGTACTGCCAGTGCTGGCTGTCACACTGACACGTCAGGTCGCCGCTGCAGACCGCCGTGCCGCCCGACGCTGGCTGCCGGCACTGCGCGCTGTGACGGCAGCCCTCGCCGAGGTTACGCAGACACGAGTCGGAGCATCGGCCGTGCTGCTGGCATGCGTCGGTCGACCACAGCTGCTGGGCCGACTCTGTCCGCAGGTCCTGGGACACGCGGAACCAGCTCCAGCCGGCGGCTGGCGCGGCGTAGATGCCGCTGCTGTAGCAGATGTCGACCCCAAACAGCTCGCACGGCCCGAACTCGCCGAAGTGGTTGAAGCTGACGCAGCCGGTGCGCTGCAGACAGGAGAGCTGACACTGGCCCAGGCTGATGTTATTCAGAGTGTCGAGGGCGGCGGCGCCGAGCAGTCGCCACTGCCGGCCAGGCCGCTGGGTCACGTACACCCCTCCCCCGGCGACCAGCGCTGGCACCAGCACCAGCGTCACCAGTAGCGGCGCCATGACCAGCACGGATCGCTCCGGGACTGGTCGAGCGCCGAGCGGCCACTGACGGTCGGACCGCGGTGTGAACCGGCGGCTCGGACCACGGGCAGAGACCGTGACCGGGTCCCGCCCGTGGCTATGTCGACTGATAGACAGCCTAAATGATGCATCAATTTCCGTCAGCGGTAGGCCAGGCACGCGGCCGGACGGACGCGCCGTCTCACGGTCATAAATACCCGTGCCCGAACCGGACATTTTTGTTGTTTTAGTGTACGTGACTAATGTCTATGTGACTCCCGTCCTGTCCGTGTCTGATCTGCTCGTAATTACGAGCGAGCGAAGTCGGCGGGCGGGCAAAGCTGATCTTTGGCGGCAATGTATGCGGGCGAAGCGTATTTGTCCTGCGCTATCCCAAATTTCGACCGCATCAAACTGCACATACGTTGTAATTTTCAAGCTCGCCCTTTCGAGAAAAATAACCAACCTCCGTCTAGCTTCTAACGTGTATCTAACTACATTTACCTTTTTGATCCCCAGTTAGACTCTGTTTTTATCAACACCCGTATTAAATATATGCATTACCCGGTTACCGTTCTCCGGCATGCGCCGCCACAAAACACCAACTTAACATACATTTTCCACAGCAACTCTTGCCGCACATTTCACATCAAATACCAACACACAGTCGACATGGCGTCTTTCGCCGCCATCATATACAGATACGGTTACGGCATCACGTACAGTTTCCACAGCAATCGACCGGGGACGTCAACGAATTCTGATTAGTGGAGTGGGTGGTCGCTAGATTAGACTAGAACAATAGCTCAATATAAAATTCCTCATATTGAAGTCGAAGCTCAAAGTGTGACTTTTTATTGACGTGAACCTCTAAATTTAGTCGATTGAATCATCTCCTTAATAAACTTCGTCCACTTCTTAGTGCATTCGATATGCGCAGCTTTAAACTGTACCTACTCAGCTACTGTTTCCATGATTGTCATAAATTAATAGCTTGATTGTCGGCCGTGCTTGTCAGCATTTTTACCCTGCGATGTTTAGTCGAGTGACACGTTTTCAGAAACTGTTTAATATCCGCCTATGTGACGTTACAACGGACAGTTGTTCGTTAACACAGGACTACTAATCCGCAGCCGTCGATGCTTTGGGCTGTGAGCTGATCGATCTCCGGCCGCCGTGGTATCGTTCTGGGTATCAGCGCCGGTTTGGCTAGATCGACAGACGCCCGGATGGTTCAGGGATCCGATTCAATCCCATTCGATTCTATCTGAGAGCCGGCGGTGACGGCGACACTCCCGGTCAGGCATCCCTCGTCTCGAGGTCGATCACACGCAGGTCTCTCCTCACCAGACTGGAGCCCTTCAATCAGAGCAGTGTCTGGCCCTTTCAGCAGCCCTCGTTAACAGTCACTCCACCCCATAAGACAGTCGGGTAACGTGTGATGAGTGGTTCCTGTGACGGCGGCGGCAGCGAGGCTAGTTGGGCCGACCCAGCGGTGAGCCGGCGTACCCGCCCTCGAGGCCGGGCTTGCCGTCCGAGCTGTGCCGGTCGCTGTTGATGTCGCTGGACGTGCTGGAGGAGAGCGTGGTCGTGCTGCCGGACGGGTCCAGCGAGCTCTGCACGGACAGCTCGCGCCGCCGGTGGACGCGTTTGGGCGACACGCGGGACGGCTCGACGCTGCTCGGGTCCGCCTGGTAGGCCAGCGCGTTCATGATGATGTGGTCGGGCACGATGCCCAGCGGGTGGATGTCCTTCATTAGGATGGTCGCCGGCACCTTGTGAAACTGGATGAACTCGAGGAAGGTGGAGATGATCTCTCGCAGGTCCAGGCTCGAGTTGTCGCAGTACTTCTTGGACCACATCAGCGCCGCCTGGTGAGCGTTAGAAGACACTGTGTCGGTTCAATGATATCCGCATGACATTCGCATAGCATCCGCGTTTCGCACAGTTTCAGGAAAACGGGGATGATGGATTTTTTACAGAGCCGGTTGCGACATGCGCCGGGAATCCTGGGAGCTACCAAGAACATTGGAATGTCTCAATTTTCGTAATGGACCGAGGTGCGGTTGCGGCCTATGAGAATCAACTTTTGACAGTGACGGACTGGTCAAGTCGTTCATTAACAGAAGAAAGAAGAAAGAGAGAGAGAGAGAGAGAGAGAGAGAGAGAGAGAGAGAGAGAGAGAGAGAGAGAGAGAGAGAGAGAGAGAGAGAGAGAACCATGTAGCGGCGTCTACCAACTGACCTGGAACTTGGTGACCTCGTCGGCCTTGAGCTCCCTGGCGAGGATCAGCCGGACCACATGTTGCGGCAGCAGGGTGAACGAGCCCAGATTCAGCACCTCGTTACCGTGCAGGTCGACAAACTCCAGCACCTGCCGGCAGAACACAGAGACGTGACAGTCGTCACACCCGTGACGTGACGTGACGTGACGTGACGTCTGTCCGCCCGACTCTCCGCCAGTCTATCCGCCCGCCGCCCGTCCGTCCTGTCGTCTCACTGGGATGGTAGACTGTACCGCAGCACAGCTCCGCCCCGGCGGCACAGCCTAGATACAGGCACCGAACCGTATACCTACTGCTGGCATTGATTTCTGAGCGGACTGCGGCCGGTGTCGCGTTTCCTGCTCTGCTAATAGTGACTCCTGCGTGCCGACGCATCACAGACACACCGAGGCGGGATTCGGGAGCTGATGGGCGGGAAACATCTCGTATCTCTCGTCTCATCAGCCCCAGCTGACGAGACTGATGTCGAGTTTACCTTTAGCAGTTTTGAGAGTGAATACAGTTTAGGATGATTCAGATGGATATTGTGCATTTTGATTTGTGAGACAGATTCTGCGTACTCTCTCCATCTCCCAAGGCATGAATTAAACATGGTTTTTATATCCTACGATTTTATCGTTTCTTCAACTCATATTACAAATGATTATTGCATTCCGAACCGTTTCAGTATAAGTCGATATATGCTTGACCGGAGACAAAACGTCGCCTCGTTTATACGACACGTCATACCCTGCTCTCACCTTTTGCACCATGGACTTGGTGCACTTGTACTGTATGTAGCGCTCGGCGGAGGCCAGCAGGGCGCACACGGTGTCCACGTTGATGCAACACTGGACGAACCCGGCGCATGCGCGGCGCAGCTCGTCCAGACCGTAGTAGTCGGCCGCGTTCATCAGACCTGGTGCACGGATATACGATTGGTTGAGTGACAATACTAGAGCTGGTCCGTGGCAATTATTAGTAAAGTAATCTTGCGTGACAATAGTCGACTGATTTTTTCTGTGGGCGCCTACCCTTATCCAGAAGGCTTTTGGCGCTACAGCGCCCAGACATACCGAGGCATTTGACATCCTCATTTTAGCTCTAGGAGTGTGGGAACTGGAAATGCTTGTCCCTAAGTGTGGGGATAAGTAAGAAGCATCCCTCAATGGGAATCTGGTGACGTACCGAGCAGGGTCCGCGGCTGCAGCGTCACACAGCCGGTGTGGATGTACTCTATGAGCTGACGGAACACGTCCGGCTCGAACTCCTCAATGATGAGCGTCTGGTGCTGGCTTTGCGCTGGCTGTGGGGCACCGAACAGGTCAGGTCACAATTCAAACGAGGAGAGGTCGCCGACAATGTCATCGGTAAAACAAGGAGAGGTCACAAAACAGGTCACCGGTCAAATAAGGAGGGGTCACTCTGGTCAGGTCGCCGGTCAAATGACAGCTGATGGGTCAGGTAACCAGGTCACCGGTCAAACAAGGAGCTACACTCACTGCCACTCACTGGTCAGACTAGGTCGAGGCACACATCAGATATGGTCAGATCTTGGGCCGGACAAGCTCTGTCAACAGCAAACTAGTCCACCAGGTCCCGAGTTCGACTCGATTAGATCAGGGCTAAGACTGGGTCAGGTCACTTCACGGCCTGTCTGCACTCTGCGCTGTGAAGATTTTAAATCAGCTTTTATAGCGGCATATTCAGTCGCTGTGGAGAATTAAGGCGCGAGAAATTAAAGCGTGCTCGGCGCTCGCTGTAAATAACAGTGGGCCACAACTCGCCCGTCACCGAACAGCGTGCTGTTTCTTTTCCTGGAAAACGTTATACTTCAGTTCAGCCACAATACCTATGTTAGGTGTTAGATAGCTCTACGGATGACATTAGAAACGTCCAGTTTTTAGGAAGAACACCGAGTGTTTTCTATAACTGGCTAAGACTACGCAACTACTTACTACACGCAGTTACACACTGATCAGTGATCATGCATGGATGGATATCTACTTTAAGATGCCTTTATATTTATTCATTACCTACCACACATGTGCCGCATGCATTGCTAACTAAACAACGACAAGCGGTTCACGGGCGGGTCAAGCCCGACTACAAAAATAAGTGTCGGCGCTTCCTCTTGGTTAGCAAAAGAGCTGCCCAAGCCTCTGCTTCAAAATGTCATCAGATCGCTGAAAAAGATCTGTGCTAGGCTATATTGTCCGGTGTTGGGTGGATGCGGGTGGCGCTGGGAGGGGACCTGTGCGGCGCATCAGAGGCGTGCGTGCGTGGTCTGGCCGTTAGGCCGGTGTCGGAGGCAGCACTCGGGCCGGGTGGGAAGGGGCTGTCTGGTTTACCTCTGGGATGGTGGGGAGCTGCTGGGCGTACAGGCCGTGCCGCTGAAACACCGGCTGCAGTGAGTGGTAAGTGGTGATCCAGTCAGCCGGTCAGACGGCGGCTCCAGAGGGCTAATTGTCAAAGCATTCGCTTTATTTGCCTTTGTGTGGCTTTCAATGCCCTTTTAACAGGCATATATTTGTAATTATTTCGCCCAGTTTTAATGCTTTATGAATCGATTTACATGTTTTATAAACAATGCAACATACCTAATCCGTAATAATTCTATAAAAAAACGACTCAATTAAAATCGCACCGGCCGGATGGTTGAGTATGAACACGCGCGAAAGAAAGACATCGGGGAGTAGGTCCACGGTGTCACTCGTAACAAGTTTTGGCTACCGTTTCACCAAGGCCCACAATCACATAAAGTATTCACACTAAGTATACGTAATGTTTATGTTAAATGCTTGATGAGAAAATTAGAACATAAAACGGCAAAACGGCAAACAATCACATCACATCTACCCGGACAGAGAAAGGAAGGCTTTCGGGGCTGAAACAACGAAACACTTATTTATATAAGCTACATATCCAACGAATTATGATACATTTATCAGTTGGTATGTTGAGATTTATTCCGAACACACAAAAAAAAACGATTAACTAACACTGTCACCAAAGGAAAATATAAACGTAAGATATAGACGTCATCATGTGTTCCTGTACCTTTTCGGTGGTGTTTTGTAAATTGAGGAGGGGCTCGCTACTCCTCTTCAGGAAAATTCTCAGTTTATTCTCCTTCTGAGGCTGGTCCTTCTTCCGCTGCGGGGAAGACGACGAATAAAATATTTTGTGGAAGACCCTGTGAAAGACAGACGAACAATAAATGTGAAAAGGGCTGATGGAATATGGCTGCTTAAATGGTCGTTAGCGTGCAAATTATATCGAGGCGGTTTAAGTGACAAGTTAATCGGGTATCGGTTATCAAGTAAGGTAAGTCCTTTGAGTCCGTTTATTTGTCGGATGAATGTGGATTGTGGGGTTAGGGTAGGTACCAGGATTTTTGCAGTGGGTAGCCGCACATGCGACCATCCATCTCCATGGTCTGTCTAAGTCTATCCTTCTAAGAGACGGTAGCAGCAATAAATATTTAGGTACATACATACCTACACAAATCCACCATATGCGGGTCAGTTCCTGGGTCACCATGGCCTACCTGGCTAATGGCTATGGCCGGGTGACCACTCACCAGTCATCTCGTCTCGTGCCGCCACTCACCTGCTGCGGGAGGCCAGCACCGCCTTCACGGCACACACGGGCTCGCGCGTGTCGCCCACCAGAAACGTGACGTCACACAGCTCGGGCATGCTCGCCAGAAACTTGAGGTCCTCTGCCAGGCCCGTCTTGTTCTCGAAGATGTTGAAGTCGGGCTGCTCGGAGAGGGCCTCGGCCATGGCCGCCAGGTAGGTCATGGGTGGGCGGGCGGCCGCCGGCTGGCCGCAGGGGCTGCCGCAGGTGCTGCTGCCCGGCCCGCTGCCGCTGCCGGCCCGCTCCCGTTCACCTGTTGCTCGTGCCGTGGCGGAGGCGCGGCCGGGTGCCGGCGTGGCGCGCGACACGGCGCAGAGCTCTGGGCGGCTCCCGGCTGCTGCCGGCGGCGGTCCGGGCGCGCCGATCGATACGGCTCCGCGGCGCACCGTGCAGTGAGCCGGAGAGCTGGACGGCGGGGGGCGCCGACCCCCGCCGGCTGGCACCGTCAGAGTCACCCGACCGGGCCATTAGCCGGCTGTTTGACGGCGGGATCACAGCGGGAGACTATGGACAGAGCTTTGATCATCGAACGTTTTTTTTCCTGTAAGAGCCTTTTTTGATATGCTTTTTACCTATGGTATCAGTATAGGCAATAGGCATGGACATTGGACGGTTTGGTCATCAGGGTTCATATTTTCAGCTATATTTTTCTAGAAAGATAGTGTTTGCGAACATTTTTATGTGTTAAATTAGTCGAACCGAAATCGAATAATGATTATGCTGATAATAAAGCACGGAAGGATGTTGACGTGTTATTTGCAATTGGCGCCGAGCACTGGAAGGGAATTCCTTTACCTTTAGGTGTTCCATCACAATTTTATGCTACCAAACTATTTCTGATTACTGCGCAGCTTAGACAAAATATTTCCACGTTTTGTGTGGAGAAAACACGGTGCATTGAAGTTGAAGTCGAAAAGGTGAGAGAAAAGTGTTGGTTGCATGCAATAATAAAGTTTTTGCATTAAAAGGTTAGCACTATTCAAAAATATACGCTATTTACGACAGTGAAGTCTCAATCGGCACTTTTGAAGCTATGAAAAGCACGCATTGTATAATGTATTGATGGCCAACTCTATAAGTCTATAGCCGCGCCGCACAGTTTGGTTTTGAGCAAGGCTTGAGCGTTTTGAGTTTCTGGAATTTGTGTCAGTGTCAGTTTGCGGATATTGGTCATACTCATCTTTTGTCACCAATCTTTCGGTCATAGAATAGGAGAAGTTATTAGAAAAATTATGCTAGGAAAACTTGACTAGTCAAGACGAATGGGAGCTCCCATTCGTCTTATTTTTATTCCGGAGTTGAGCTGGCTGGGAGCCATTTTCATCTTACCATCTTACCTCACAGGGCGCCTGCTGGCATTGCCTAGATCTGAGCAGCTGCCACAATGCGCAGTGTACGATCCTGGCTGCGGCTGGCCGCCCTGAGGCGGGTGCCACCCCTGCGACCAGTGACCATAGCTGCAGTGGGCCCAAGCCGCCACAAATCGGACGACATCTCGCGACTGTTTGTGCCAGTGCCTATCCAGCCATCCCAGTCAGATGATATCAACTCTGTGGGCTCAGAGCTAGCTGGCAAACTGGTCAAGCCAGCTGTGCTGAGGATACTCAACAAGTTTTATCAGAGGCCAAAGATCCGCCGTATCAGCCTCGAGAATGGCCTTGACAGTGAGTGGCTTGGTTGATAAGATGGTGCTGCTGTTGAAATGGACCCATCTCATTTGCAGTGCTTGATGTTTGTTGGTTTAAAATTGTTCATTTTCCTTTTTCCAATTATTTTACTCTGTGTTCAATTCATTTTCTGGTGACTGGGTTTCATGCTAATCAGACAACAGATATTTTTGTTTGTGTTGTACTGTGCTATTGCCCAGTGCTCAGTGCATCACTTTTGTTGTACTGTCATGTCAGTTGTTGATCTCCTGCTCCCCCCCCCCATGCCTCCACAGCATACCTGTTTCACCAGGCGTACGTCAGTTTCCGACGGTACTGCGTAGAGACCGCTCATCTGCCGCCCGATCTGCACATCATATTCAGCGACATTCTGCGTGTGAGTTATCTACGCTACTGTCAGTGACATTTTCATGGTCAGGTACCGGCTAAGGAAAAGTTCAACATTTTTAGATGAGTTAGAATAATGAGACGACACAAGAGAACAGTTTGGCAAATGATCTCATGACCCAGAGATTACTGTCTTTTTTTCTCGCAGGATGCCGGTCACACGGATGATCTGATTCCGTACTTTTTGCGGCACGCGCGCACGATCTTCCCCCATCTGGAGTGTATGGACGACCTGAAGAAGATCAGCGATCTCCGGGAGCCAGCCAACTGGTGGGTAGAGCTGCGTCGGCCAGCGGTGGCTGGTGAGCTCTGCTGCGCTCATGACCATCAGGGCTCGTGGTGTTCTCATTATCTGGGCACAGGCTGCTTCATTGTGATGTGCCGTGGAGGCATTTAACGCCACTGTGTAGTTGAAATGACCGCTCTTTGGCTATTGCCCTCAATAACTAATACTGCAGCTGCCTTCGATTTCCGCGACTGTTTCCGGGGAAGTTTAACCTCTCGGCCTACCGTTTCCACTGTCCTGTCCCCGGTCTGCCAAGTAACTCCCTCGCCATTGCAGGTACCCGGAGGCGCGCGCTATCAACCGTCGTATCGTGTTCCACATGGGCCCCACCAACAGCGGCAAGACGTTCCACGCGCTGCAGCGGTTCATGGCGGCCAGATCGGGCGTCTACTGCGGCCCGCTCAAGCTGCTGGCCGCCGAGGTGTTCGAGAAGTGTAACGGTCAGGTGAGTGGCCGGTAGGAGTGGGCTAACTCGGGTGGCGGGACCTGTATGTTTTGATCAGATGCCATTTTATAGCTGAGGCAGTGTAACAATAGGTTAGGCTCTTAGGTTTGTGGATTTTTTTTTACATTTGTAGACGGAATACCTCTAATGCTTGGAGCTCCAACTGTTTTAGTGTCATAATATATTCAGTTTCCGACTCGTCGATGCTCTTGAACACTCGTAGTCCGACAGCATTTAGAGCTGACTCCTGTGATTTATGCCACCCGATGCTCGGAGATGACCCCATTTGACCTATGATTTCCCCGCAGGGCACCAGCTGTGACCTGGTGACGGGGGAGGAGCGGCGGCTCGGACGGCCCGACGGACTGGCCTCCGAACACGTCGCGTGCACAGTCGAAATGACCTCCGTCAAAACACCCTGTAAGTGAGGGGAGAATGAGAGAGTCTGAGGATGAATGAGGGAGAATGAGGAACGGGATTTGCGACGGGGTGTGTGGTAGAATCCACACTAACTAATCATATCTCGTAGCGAAATATCGTCGTGGCCAATCCGCCTATGTATGCCTGTCTCTCAAGTCTCACCCCTCTCCCTCTCTCCCTCCCTCCCTCCCTCCTTACTTCAACTTCCTCCTCTCTCTTTCTCTTTTTCCCCTCGGCCCTCTCCCCATCCTCTACACAGCTAACACCCGTCTCTCCTCTGTTTTCAGACGAGGTGGCCGTGATTGACGAGATCCAGCTGCTGCGCGACCCGCAGCGCGGCTGGGCCTGGACGCGCGCCCTTCTCGGAGTCGCCGCCGAGGAGGTGCACCTGTGCGGAGAGCCGGCCGCCCTCGAGCTGATCCAGGAGATGGCGCTCTGCTGCGGCGAGGAGGTGGAGGTGCGACGGTACAAGAGGCTCTCGCCGCTGGTCTGTGAGGATACCGCCCTGGAGAGCACCCAGAACGTCCGGCCCGGCGACTGTATCGTCTGCTTCAGCAAAAACGACATCTACCAGGTGTCCAGGGAGATTGGTGAGTTGATCTGACGGTGGAAGGTGTTGTATTTCTCTACTCTTACTTATGAAGTTCGCTAACTGCAAGTTTTCACCTTCAACGCTTCTGCCATGCTATGGTGTCTGTGCCACGTGCCAGCTATGTTCCTGTCACAGCTGCCACCAGTCATTCCGCCCGTTAACCAGTACCTTATACCCCTCCCCTTTCCACTGTACCCATCAGAGCGTCTGGGCCACGAGTGCGCCGTTATCTACGGCGGCCTGCCGCCCGGAGCCAAACTGGCGCAGGCGCGCCGCTTCAACGATCCGGACGACCCGTGCAAAATTCTGGTGGCCACGGACGCCATCGGAATGGGGCTCAACCTGTGAGTGGTGACTCAACTTATCCTCGGAAAAAATTAGTGATCATGTGACCTATGTTGCAGGTGAGATTCTTTGCTAACATTGACGTTCTCTTGAAAGAAAGCCTTCCATAAGCAGAGGAAATTTTATAGCGTATCTGCGCCTCACTGTTTAATTTAACACATTATGTGTGCACTTTTAGACATCTGGCTCACCCTACGCTTCTCTGACCTCGCCACTAGCCGGCGACCCAGCTGATCCCCCTGTGACCCTCCGTGACCTCAGGAGCATCCGCCGTATCATCTTCCACTCGCTGATGAAGCCGACCATTAACGAGAAGGGCGAGAAGGAAATAGACGTCATCAGCTGCTCTCAGGCGCGTCAGATCGCCGGCAGGGCCGGCCGGCATGGCACACAGTGGGAGGAGGTGGGTACCCAGCGGGCATTGAACGTTTCAATCTGGATTGAAGCAGGACACTCCATCCCTGTCAGCCGTGATCGAATGCTTGGATTTAAATGATATGCGACCGTGATGGTGTGTTCTAGTATTTCTGTTTATCTTTCTGTACATATAGGTAATCGACAACACTTGGTCAGTAAGTAATGGCCGTCTCCGGTGGCTATGGTTATCTGTTTTTACCTGCCTGCCGACAGGGTATGTTGTCGGCAGGCAGACAAATGCCTGTGATGGCTGTAAGCTATGTGCTCTAACTTCTGTTTTTATCGGCAGGGCACGGTGACGACGATGAAGTCTCACGACCTGCCGACGCTGCAGCGTCTGTTGGAGGAGGAGCCGCCGCCACTGGAAGCCGCCGGCCTGCAGCCCACCGCCGATCAGATCGAGCTGTACGCCTACCACCTGCCCAACGCCACCCTGTCCAACCTGATGGTGAGGGTGGTCAGCGGCCTGACAGTGTGGGTAGTGGGGAGGGGGGGGGGGGGGTTCAGCCTACCACCTGCCCAACGCCACCCTGTCCAACCTGATGGTGAGAGCGGCCTTCACTCGGGCCATTCACTCTGTCATGCGTGATTGTCACAGCCTAAACGTCGACTGTCATTTAGTACATCTGTCGTGCTGCTGTTAGGAGTTCAAAGTTCGGATAGCTCTGATGATAAACGATCTTCCTAACTTCTCAGGCTAGCAATCTCGAACAGCGTTTATCTTTTTTGATTTACTGACTAACTCTGCGCTATCTCTCCCCCACAGGATATTTTCGTGAACCTGTCAACGGTGGACGACTCTCTGTACTTTATGTGTCAGACGGACAGCTTTAAATTCCTGGCCGATATGATCCAGCACGTGCCGCTGCCGCTGCGCGTCCGATACGTGTTCTGCTGCTCGCCCATCGACAGGAAGATACCCTTCATCTGCAACATGTTCCTCAAGGTATGTGGCGGGTGGAGCTAGGGCCTTGCAGTAACAGATAACTGACAAGTGACAGCTTCAGATGTCGTAGTATTTAATTTACACCTACGTCAGCATTCAGTTCCTACTGATCGTTGGGAATCAATAACGTTAGGTGCGAGGTTCAGCTTTGTTAATCGATCCGTTATTTGTTTAAGCATTTTGTGTTCTCACTGGTAGTTTGTGCGTTATTTTAACATACTATCTGTATTACGCTGTTCAGTTTGCACACCAGTATAGCTATGAGTCAGTCACGGTCGACGTGCTGTGTATAGTTTTCCCGCCATTATAACACTGTGTCTTTGTGTTCAGTTTGCGCGCCAGTACAGCCGCAATGAGCCGATCACGGTGGACTGGCTGTGCTCGCACGTGGGCTGGCCGTTCACCACGCCGGCCACCATCCTGGACCTGGTGCACCTGGAACATGTGTTCGACGTGCTAGACCTCTACCTCTGGCTCAGGTGAGAGGCAGTACGGGAGACGAGTTTAACTTTGGCTCAGGTGAGACAGTACGGGAGACGAGTTTAACTTTGGCTCAGGTGAGACAGTACGGGAGACGAGTTTAACTTTGGCTCAGACAATAGGCCGACTCTGTGTCCCATACTCTGGCATGTAGTTATCTGGCTCAGGTGAGACAATGAGGGAATGTCTAATTGTGGCCTTAGTGGGACAAAAGGGATGCCTCATATGATTCAGGTGAGTGCATCCCCCTGTCTTTGCGCCAGTTACCGGTTCATGGATCTGTTCCCCGCGGCCGACGAGGTGTCCTAACCCCTCCCCTCCCCCTGCCTTTGTGCCAGTTACCGGTTCATGGACCTGTTCCCCGCGGCCGACGAGGTGTCCTGACCCACTCTCTGTGCCCCCGCCACCGCCAGTTACCTGTTCATGGACCTGTAGTTCCCTGCCGCCGACGAGGTGTCCTGACCCACGCTCTGTGCCCCCGCTGCCGCCAGTTACCGGTTCATGGACCTGTTCCCCGCGGCCGACGAGGTGCGTGAGATGCAGGCAGAGCTGGACGCCACAATCCAGGAGGGCGTGGCCAACATTGTGCAGCTGCTGAAGAACACGGAGGCGGGAGGCGCGTCCTCCTCGGCGGCGGCACGGGTGGACGACGAGGACCGCTACACGGCCAGCCGGCGGCAGCAGGCCTACCTGCAGAATAACGGTAAGTTAGTACAGCTACAGCACTCACAGCAGTCACTGTAGCCTCCGGAATTATAGCGAGAGACTGGGGCAGTGCTACAGAGCAGGCCTAACTCCAGAATAGCGGCGAGAGATATGTATGTATGTATGTATGTATTTACGTCATGGGGCACATCCACATAGTTCAGTGGCTATTCCGCACCCTGCAGTCGCAAAGATAAAAAACGGTCATTTAGGTCAACATGCACACATGCACACGCACTAACCCACACACGCCTGCTCTTTAAAGTACACCTAGCCGACGCCGCCCCGCTGCTTCATAAGCAGGTGTTGCCTGAGTTCTTTCTTAAAGCCTCCAGTAAAGTTTCGCAACTCACGTGGCAAAGCATTATAGGTGGTAACGATCGAGTGCTTAAAACGACGCCTGCCTGACTCCGATCGACTCGCCGGCATGACTAAATGGTCGGCGTTCCGTGTGGTACGATGGTGAACATCACCACGAGTGACTAGGTCGCTGGCGATCGACTCGGGCTCCGATGTCACTAACATGCGCTTCAGTAGGATAAGACCGCGGTATAGATACAGGTGCTCTGCAGTAAGCCAGTCAAGACGGTCCAAAACGTCGCTGATGTGATCGTACCTCCTTCGACCGGATAAGACACGGGCGGCAAAGTTCGGATAGGGACGGAGCTGTACACACTCTTGAAAATATGGGGCGGAAACAAGGTTTCAGCAACCAGCTAGTCGGCTGAAATTGTGCTTGTTGTTAGTCAGTGGGGGCTGTAATTATTAGCAATGTTATTTTTATGTAAAAGATCGATTAAACTAGACTGTAAAGACTGGTTTTGTTAGCTCTGAGTTGTGAACTGCCGCCGCCTCTGACCGCCGCCCGCCGTTTTTACAGACGACTCGGACGAGTCGGCTCGGCTGGGAAAGCTGTCGAAGCGCCTGCTGTCCCAGGGCCTGCTGACCCATAAGATGATGGAGGAGCTGCACCAGGAGTGGGAGAAGAACCGACAGGTGAGTGGTGGAAAACTCCAAGGGGGGGGGGGGGGGGTCGGCTGGTGCGGTGTGAGTACGACCTTTTCACCGTTGTGTGGAGCGCTTAACGTGCTCTGAAGGGAACACCGCTGCCTGGTAGCCCAAAAATATGTCTGATTTATTAGCGGTGTATGATGGGTTGATGACGTAAACGACTTCGCCTCCATTTTCAGTATTTCACTTTTGTTTTCAGAAGTCGTCGCCGTCCACGGGCGGGCGAGGTGAGGGCAAGTCGAGGAAGCGCCGGTGACACTCGCCCACCTTCCGTCGGTGAGAATTTGTAATCGTCCCAGCCCGCGTCTTGTCCGGGCTGTGTAACGGCCGCTAGTCCTCCCCCCCCCCCTCCCAGACCGCACCGTGTGCCGGTCCGGCTCTGACCCCGCTACTGCCACGGATCGGTGGGTCAGCGGCCCGAACGGGACCCTTGTGATGGCAGACTCACGACGGCGGTATGACGGATACCGATGGTGTGGTTGTTAGGCCCCCAGTCGCGGGGTTCGAGCGGAGAGGCTCGTCGTACGGTGGGCTGTTTTTGCCAGTGACTTGTTATCGGCGCCGAGGGTGCGCGCTACAGTGGTAGGGTAGGAGGAAAGTGAGATAGTGATACTGCCAGTGATCTAACCGTGTCAGACAATATACGGCGAGGACCGAATGCCAATGGTGTTTTCCGCCCACATTCGTTAGATGGCGTTGTTCTGTTCGGTGCTAAATGAATCAGGGCATTTGAGCGTTTGCTCCGTTCGTTCCCAAAGCCGCTGAGTTCTAAGAACGATTTATTCGTAAATGAACAAAATCCCGGCAATAAATTAGCCTTGCATACTTAGCACAATATCACAGTTAAATAATACATAACTGCCAACACTGCAGTGGACGGATTGCTTTCATCACCATGACCAGTCATAAACATATCACGATGGGTAACGCTACTAACCATGGTCTTTGCCTATCGCTGGCCATTGCCAAGCCGGATATCAACATAGCGCTTATTTATATCTACGATAAGTATGCAATGCTAGTTCTCTCTGTCACCGCTTCATTGGTGCAAAACAGATACGAAGAGATTATCGTGCTGACTAGGAAAAATCATACGAACTACGACCGTGAAAGTGAGTTAAACTTGGGCTCGCACTTATTCACTATGCACTCAGCCTGACCGTGAACGAAAACACATTGTGGAGATCATACCTTCACGAACTGGACGAACAACAACCGTAGCGCCCAGTTAAACTCTGCCAACACGGTGACACGATGTAAAATGACTAGAAACACGAGACCTTTGCAATGTCTACGCCACTGACCGACGATTATGGATGGAAACTACCCCATCAAGACGGATAGACGACGGACGACGGACGGATACTTTTTCAATCACTAGGCGACACCTTCGGAGTCCGGCCCACTATCAAGCAATAAGCATACTCGTACTAACGGCGTCTGTCTACTCCCATCTGTGCGGGTGTCGACTGACGACAAGAGAACGGAACGGCATCTCACTCGCCGAGAACTGGTCTGGACGGACAGCCCACCGGTCAGGGACATCTCACTGGTCGGGGACGGCGTCTCACTTGTCGTTCACTGGTCGGGGACGGCGTCTCACTTGTCGTTCACTGGTCGGGGACGGCGTCTCACTTGTCTCTCACTGGTCGGGGACGGCGTCTCACTTGTCTCTCACTGGTCGGGGACGGCGTCTCACTTGTCGTTCACTGGTCGGGGACGGCGTCTCACTTGTCGTTCACTGGTCGGGGACGGCGTCTCACTTGTCGTTCACTGGTCGGGGACGGCGTCTCACTGACCGCGGACACTCGACGGCGTCGTCTCACTGGCCTGGGACGGTGCTGTCTCACTGGTCGGGCACGGCGTCCACGGTGATCTCCACGCCCCAGGGCCGGTCGGGCCGCTCCGGCAGCAGACACTGGGCCAGCGCGCAGCCGGCCGGCGGCACGCGCGGCGGCCGCGCCACCAGCGGCCGGCAGCCCACACAGCGCGACACGTCGACCTCGGCGCGGACCGGCGCCGCGCCCAGGTTCACCAATACCACCAGCACGGCGTGCTCGAGCGTGACGCGCCGCCAGCCGGCCGCCGGCGCGTCGCCGCCCAGCGCCAGCCGGCGCAGCAGGCCGGCCGGCAGCGGGGCCACCCCGCCGACCGTCAGCTCGGCGGCGTCAGCGGCCTCACAGCGGGCCGTCAGCTGGAACCCGGCCACGCGGCGCGGCGCCAGGTCCGGCCCGAACCCCAGCGCCGTCAGCGACAGCCACAGCTCTCCCGGCTCCGAGGCGTTATCCTCGGCCTCCAGCTGGTGCAGCCGCACGAAGCCGGCCTCGGTGAGCTCGCCGTTGCGCGTCTCGAAGTTGGCGCCGACGATGGCCCACTCCTCGTCCTGCACTTTCTCACCGGCGGTCAGCTCGTTGAACGCGCTGAACTCGTCCCGACTGAGGCCGCCGCTGGCGTCAAAGTCCCACAGCCGGAACAGTTCCCGGAGGTGCGTCGTGTACGCCTCAGTGAGCCGCACCTCGCCGCCGGGGTCCACGGTGAACAGCTGGCGCCGCGGCGAGTCCGGCGCGCGGTCAGGCTCGCGTAGCAGCGCCGCGGTGACCGTGTACTCTCCGGGCTCCAGTCGGCGGTCCAGCCGCGCGCTGCCGCCGGCCGCCGCCGAGGCCACGCCGAGCAGCGCGCCGTCAGAGCTGCGCCACAGCAGTAGCAGCAGACAGCGCTGCGGCTCGGCGGGCTGCAGCAGCAGCCGGCAGCCGGCCGGCCGGCGCACCGTCAGCCGGTACTGGGTGCACTGCTGCGGTCCCAGCGGACCGTCACCCTCCGCGGAGAGGATGGCGCAGCCGCGCACAGACGCCACCTCTGGAGCAGCGTCCAGGGACAGACGGTCCGGCCGCAGCGCCGCCCGAGTCGCCTCGTACTGCGCCAGCTTGTCCGCGTAGTCGTCCAGGAATAGTTTCATCGACGGCGGGTCTCCGCGCGCCGCCAGAATCGTCTCCAGCTGGGCGATCTCGTCCGAGGAGAGGGCGTCACCTCCCTGCATCAGCTGCTGCTTCCACTCCCTCCACTGCAGCGGCCGCCCTCCGGCGTGCTGGGTCACTGCCTCCACTGCTTCCGAGAGCGACTCCATCTGATCTGCCCGCACTGAAATGAAACTGCCCTGGTAACCAAAAGTCAACTTTCAACACATCTTTCAACATATGCTTTCAAATAACTAGCTCATGAACACTTATTCATATGCTCAGGTTGACATGCATTCATTCCATCCATAGCCTACTTTTCAAGCTATGAAATGTGGAAGCAGAGCATCACCATCAAGATGAGGTTTGCACAACAGAGGTGCTCACAGGCTTTTGGAACCTTGATCTTGCATTATTTTGCTATTTTGTTTTTTCTAATGCCACAAGTTGAACGTAAAATTGTAATATCATTATGTCACAGGTGAAAGCAGAGGTGCTCACAGGCTTTTGGAACCTTGATCTTGCATTATTTTGCTATTTTGTTTTTTAACTTAAAACCCATCATAAAATTATTTCATGTCTTCCTTACCTATCTACCTAGAAACGCTAGAAACATACCAAAATAAAAACCTAGGTAGTAGGGAGGGTAGGTACTTGTTTCCAAGTTTAGGTACTACTTTGACTTACGAATGCAGGGTTTATTCAGGTTTTCCAGTGGCTCTGTATTTTGAGTCTCGACACTTAGTGCATTCCAGGCCCTTATAATTCTTCAAATGTTATAAGTACCTACCTATTGTGAAAAGATACCCTCTTTTTATACTCAATAGTCTGAGTCGGCAGGGTATATACTGCCTTGGTCGGCAGATCTTTGATACTCAACGGACTCGTCTTGCCTTGAGATACGCTTGACAGGACTTGACCCTTGACTTGACCCAGAGTATATAGAACACCGAACACCACTTGACCCACGGTTTGACCCAAGATACCTATAAGTTTGACCCAGACTCAAGGCCCCAGACTTGACCAAGGACTCTTCTTTTTTCTCCAGCTCTCGGGGTACAAATTGTTTTCCCATAGATTATTGATTACTATCAAAAGGTTTTCAAGGCCGGATTCAGAAAGGTTTTTGAAGAAAGGATAGGCTATCTGATCCGGCCCTACCGACGTTTCACCACATCGAGATATGGCGTGTCTAAGTTCGAACAAGTCAAAGTGCTTGTTATAATTTTCAGTATTTGCTGAGTCGAAGGAGAGGGTGTCGAGTGTTGTGTTAAAGCTGTCATGTTGTACTTGTGTGTATTGTTGAGCAGAAGATATTCGTGCGTAATGTTGGGCGAATTGTGTCGCAACTTGAAGGGGAGTGGTGTAGTGGGTGTTGTTAATGTAGAGATGAGGAATTTTGTAAGTTGTGCTGCGCCTTGTCGAAAAAAACTCTAATTAGCGACCAGATTTTAGAAAGGGGAGTAAATCTATTAAAGCTGTTAGAGAAGGAGTGCCATCCTTCTTGTTTTGCTTTAAGTATTATTTGTGAAGCATCATATCGGGCCTTCCGGAGGGCATTTTCATGGTAATCGCAAATACATTTGTTAAAGACTCGTAAGGCACGCTTCCGCAGAGCTACAGCTCGATTGCAGTCAGCGTTCCACCAAGGGGCAGCTTTGTTTTCACGTGGGGGGTGGGTATGGGGAATATTTTGGTGAGCAGCAGCGAGAATCACGTTTAAAAAGGTGTTGATGTCAGGGGGAGGGGTGGGAGTGTGTTCATCTATATGTTTTTGAAAGGAGGCCCAATCAGCTTTCTTAAAGTTCCAACGAGGAAGAAATGTAAAATTGGCTTGTCCTGAAGGGACATTAAGTTGATAGTGAATGGGATAATGGTCGCTAAACAATGTATCATCTCCGACGTGTTGAGTGAAAAGTGTCGCGGTGTTAGTGTCTGTGAAGGCCAAGTCGATGACGGAGTGTATGACTTGACCTTGGTTGCGTCTGGTGAAAGTGGGTGTGCGGTTGTTAATGCAAATGAGATCAAGTGAATCCATTATCTTATCAATTAGTGTTCCGCGCGCGTTGTTCGTTGTTGAGCCCCAGGATCTGTGGTGAGCATTAAAATCTCCTAGTATTAGGCAGGGGTGGGGAAGCTGGACAAACAATTGGCGGAGTTCAGAGGAGGAAAAGCGGTGGCTTGGGGAAAGGTACAGGGAAAGGATGGCAAGGTCATGTTGCGCTATTTTGACTTGAGCTGCGACCGCGTTAAGCGTGGTGCGGAGCTGAATTTCGTGGTGCAAGAGGTTATTAGCAATATAAAGGGCCGAGCCGCCTCGGCGGGGTTTTTCATTTACGTTAATTGTATATAAAGTATTTCCACGTATGTTAAAGTTGTAATTAGAGGAATCTGAGTCCAGAAAACGGGTCTCCTGAATGGCGGCTATCAACGGTTTTTTATTTAATATATAGTTCTTGAATTCGCCCCAGTGGCTCACTAGAGAGGAAGTGTTCCACTGGAGGACGAATTCATCAGATCGATGCATGTTTTATGTGTGTTGAGTGTTAAACAGATTTTTCACGAGCAGCCGCCGCTGCGGCTCTGGTCTTCATCCCCTCTGACGGGGTTGGGGACGGGGCGCGTGTCGTGGCTCGCGGATGCTGAGTGTCTGCGTTTACATGCTGGCTCGCCGCTGGGGCGGCCTCATCCGTCTCTAAGTCGG